TCTGAATAAGTTGTAAATTCATTAAGTAACAATGCAATCACGGTGGATATTAAAAGCGTAAGTTCTCAAAAAATTATAACATAGTGAGATTTTACTCACATGGTATAAGTGGAGTAACTAGTATTTATGAATTTTGAAATATTCGTTGGCTTTCACATGGACAAAAAATTCAGAAAGGTATTAGTTATTATAGGTCAATTTGGTTGAGCACCTATGTTTAAATTTACATTTTCTTAAAATTTGTGTGTCAGGAATCACTTTCCTGACACATAAGACAGGTATTAGAGAGACTCAATTACTTAGATTATTTTGTAAGAAAATAAAATCAAGTACTGTATATACTTTATACAGGACAAATGCATCTATCTTTTCCTAATTAATTAATTATTTTACATTAGGAAGTTTTTTAAGAGCAGTTTAAGGTTCACAGCAAAATGGAGGGGTAAATATTGAGATTTCCCTGCCCCCACAAATGTATAGCACCCCCCATCATCAACACTCCCACCAAATTGGTATATTAATTACAACTAGTGAACCTAAATTGGCACATCATAATCACACAAAGTCCATAATTTACATTCTAGTTCAATCTTGTTGTACATTCTATGGGTTTGGACAAACGTGTGATGTATATCCACCATTATCGTATCCCCAAGAGTATTTCCATTGCCCTACAAGTCCTCTGTGCTTTGCCTATTTATCCTCTTTGCAACCTCTGGCAACCACTGATCCTTTTATTCTGTCCATAGTTTTGCCTATTCCAGAATGTCATACGGTTGGAATCATACAATATGTAGCTTTTAAGACCATCTTCCTCAACTTGGTAATACCCATTTATGTAATCTCCGTGTCTTTTCATGGCTTGATAGCTCATTCCTTTCTAGTGCAAAATAAGATTCCATCCTCTGGCTGAGCCACAGTTTATCCCTTCACCTACTGAAGAGCATTTTGGCTGCTTCCTAGTTTTGACAATTATGAATAAAGTTGCGATAAACATCCATGTACAAGTTTTGTGTGGACATAAGTTTTTTATTCCTGTGGGTAAATACCAAGGAGCACAACTGTAGGATCCTATGTTAGAGTATGTTTAGCTTTTTAGGAAACCTCCAACCTGTCTTCCAATGTGGCTGTACCATTTCGATCCCCACCAGCAATAAACGAGAATTCCTATTGCTCCCCTGGCATTCAGTGTTCTCAGTGTCCAGGAATTGGCCTTTCTAACGGGTGGGTAGTGCTATGCCATCATTGTTCTAATTGGCATTTCTGTGATGACACATGATGCGGAGCATAGTTTTGTATGGTTATTTGCCATCTATATAGCTTTGATGAAGTGTCTGTGCAGATCTTTGGCCCATTGTTTAATGAGGTTGTTTGTTTCCTTATTGTTGAGTTTTAACAATTCTGTGTGTGTGTCTAGTTTATATATAGTTAAAATTTTACTCGATTTATTTAATTTTTTTAAAAAAGTTTAGCAACTCCTCTTTCCTCCACCCCCTGCCTCTTGCAACCACCAATCTGCTCTCTGCATCTGTGAGCATGTTTCTGTTGCTGTTAAGGTTCCACGTATAAGAGATCATACAGTATTTTCCTCTCTCTGTCTAACTTATTTCACTTAGAATAATGCTCTCAAGGTTCATCCATGCTGTTGAAAACAGCAAGATTTCATTCTTTTTAATGGCTGAATAGCATTCCAGTGTGTGTGTGTGTGCGCACGCGTGCATATGTGTGTGTTGTGTACCATATCTTCTTTCCCCATTCATCCACTGATGGACACTTAGGCTGTTTCCATGTGTTGGCTATTATAAATAATGTTGCAATGAACAAGGGGGTGCATGTATCTTTTCAAATTAATGTTTAGGTTTCCTTCAGATAAATACCCAGAAGTGGAATTGCTAAATCACAAGGTAGTTCTATTTATAATTTTTTTGAGGTATGTCCATACTGTTCTCCATAGTGGTTGAACCAATTTACATTTCCATCAACAGTGCACAAGGGTTTCCTTTTCTCTACATCCTTGCCAACACTTATTTCTTGCTTTTTTTTTAATGAAGCCATTCTAACAGATGTGAGGTGATATCTCATTGTGGTTTTGATTTGCATTTCCCTAATGATTAATAATGTTGTTTTGGATAACAGTCCTTTATCAGATGTGTCTTTTGCAAATACTTTCTCCCAGTCTCTCGTATGTCTTCTCATTCTCTTGACATTGTCTTTAAAAAAGCAGAAGATTTTAACCTGAATAAAGTATAGCATATTAATAATTTCTTTCATGCACTGTGCCTTTGGTGTTGTATCTAAAAAGTCACTGCCATACCCAAGGTAATCTAGAATTTCTAAGTTATCTTCTATGAATTTTATAGTTTTGTGTTTTACATTTGGGTCTGTGATGCATTTTGAGTTAATCTTTGTGAAGGGTGCAAGGTGTATATCAAATTTCATTTCTTTGCATGCAGATGTCCAGTTGTTCCAGCACCATTTATAGACAAACTATCTTTACTCCATTGTATTGCCTTTGCTTCTTATGTCAAAGATGGGTTGACTATATTTATATGGGTCTATTTATGAGTTCTCTGTTCTATTCCATTGATCTATTTGTCATTCACCAATACCACCATGTCTTGATTCCTGTAGCTTTATAGTAAGTCTTGAAGTGAGGTGGTGTCAGTTCTCCAACATTGTTCTTCAATATTATGTTGGCTATTTTGGGTCTTTTGCCTCTCTATATAAACATTAGAATCAGTTTGTCAATACCCACAAAATAAATTGCTGAGAATTTCACTGAGATTACATTGAATCTATACATCAAGTTGGGAAGAGCTGACAGCTTAAAAACATTGAGTCTTCCTATCCATGAACATGGAATATCTCTCCATTTATTTAGTTTTTTTATTTATTTACCAGAGTTTTGTAGTTTTCCTCATATAGATCTTGTGCATATATTGTAAGATTTGTACTTAAGTATTTCATTTTGGTAATTGCCAATCTAAATGGTATTGTGTTTTTCATTTCAAATTCCACTTGTTTATTGCTGGTATATAGAAAAATGATTGAATTTTGTATAATGACTTTGTCTCCTGAAACCTTGCCAAAGTCACTTATTAGTTCCAGGAGTTTTGTCTGTGAATTCTTCTGAATTTTCTACAGAGAAAATCATATCATATACAAAGACAGCTTTATTTCTTACTTCCCAAACTGCATATATTTTATTTCCTTTTCTTGTTTGAGTGCATTGGCTAGAACTTTCACTATGATTTGGAAAAAGAGTAGTGACAAGGAACATGATCTTAGTTGGAAAAATTCAAGTGTCTCACCATTAAGTATGATGTTAGTTGCAGTTATTTTTGTAGATAGTCTCTAGAAAATTTAGGATGCTATCACTATCTTTAAAAACAATTTAACAAAATAGTTTAATTTGTATATGATTTACGATAACTAAGAGTAATAACGTTTATAATTCTTAATATTTATTTGTTACACAATATTTTTATAATGTTTGTTTATTTTTGAGAGAGAGGGAGAGAGAGAGAGAGAGAGAGAGAGAGAGTGTGTGTGTGTGTGTGTGTGTGTGTGCACGCACAAGTTGGAAGGGGCAGAGAGAGAGACACAGAATATGAAGTAGGCTCCAGGTTCTGAGCAGTCAGTGCAGAGCCTGATGCAGGGCTCAAACCCATGAACTATGAGATCATGACTTGAGCCGAAGCTGGACACTTAACCTACTGAGCCACCCAGGAGCCCCTATTTGTTATGTAATATTAAAACTATTCGAATTTTGCTCAAGTCTTCATTTAGAACATTTTCTTAAAATTAGCTTTGACAACAATGCTCATTCCTTTGTTTCTTAGTTACCTAAAAGTCAGCCATTACCTAAAATTTAATTGTTCCCTTTTGAGCACATTTTTTTCTTTTTACTTCTCTTTTTGGGTGTATGAGTTCTTGAGACCATTTATTCTAAATGTACATAAGCTAAGTCCCTAGACTAATTAAATATGTGCTCCATTAAATATGATAAATTTGACAAGCTTGCTAATTTCCCTCTAGATTAGGTAATTTGGTTTCAAAAAACTACATGACTAAGGAGGTGGACCCCTTTATGCTCCACTGGGATCCCTTCTCATTGAAAGACATGCCCCGGCTGCTAGGAGTGATGTAAACAGAAAGCCTTCAGTTGTCACTGCTACCTTGGCTGCAGGGAGCCACAAAGTTAGCACTATCCTGATCCAAGTGGTGATTTAATGTGTGGCCATCTTGACCTAACAGGAAACAACTCGGAAGGGTGATTTTAACTCCAGAGTGCCCCCACGGAGTTGCCAGGGCATCTGTAGGGCCGGCATTAGTTTGGACTTCTCCTTCTGCACATATGTGTTGATCTCCTCATACCTCCCTGCTAAACTCTACCTCTGGATCTACTTCCAGGAGAACCCAACTTGCAACAGTAAGTAGGTAGGTAGATACTTTGCATTTAATAATACTATTTATATTTACAGAGAAAGTTCCAGCTCTTAGTCCATTCCAGCCAATCCCTCAAGTCACTATGCCCAACACAAGAAACTGTCTTCTTCTTTAACACCAGAGAATAAGATAGTATATTTTTGTGATATTAGCTGGAAGGATTTTCTGTTCCTTCTCCAGCTCAAGATGAATCTCTCTGTTTGGACTAGATGTTCTCATGGTGCATACAAACGACCACTTCCTTTAATCAATTACCTATAATTTTTCAAAGGTATTTTAAAGAAACAGACAGCTCTCTATCTAGAATCTCTCTGATCACGAACACAAAGAATTATAAATGAGTATTTAAAGACATACACAAACATGTAAAAAGTTGCCAGGCTAATTATACAACTTAAGCTAAAAGAAAAATGAAAATAAGACATGAAGCCCTTGCCAGTGAAATACAAAATAACTTTCTGCAACTAATTTAATAAATGAGTACTTTCACACCCTATCTTTGCTAGAGGATTTTGTCATCCCTTAGTAGCATAACGTAATACTCAACTCACCTTTCCTCCAGTCCTATGACTTCTTTCCGGCACCAAATGACTTTTCCCGGAACGTACAGGAGCAACGAGGATGGTGACATTCACTGTAATTGCCCAAACCACGGAGACATCCAACACTCTGGCTCCAAACTCCCTCTCCAAGTTTTCAATATCATTCTTAGTGAGGCATTACTCAACTCGGGGCTGTTCTCCCTTCATTCTGGTAGGTTTTCATGAGTTGAGTCATCTTGGCAGGACCTCCAAAGTCTTAAGAAAAACAAATTTGACAAATTCATTATGTCAAAGTTTTATTTAAGTTTCATTCAAGAGACTGAGCCTCTATATCTGCCAAGGAAAAGATTTTACTCTTGGTAAAGACACAGGAAAAAGACTGATTAGGAAATCATTGTTGGACCAGATACAAGATGAAAGACTGTTTAAAGATATTTAGACTACTATGTGATAGGTAGATGGATAGGAGGTTAGTAAATAACACCTCCAGTCTAAGAAATTCCATTTAGGTCTATCAGAACAGTCCCCCAGCATGTTACCATGTATCAGTAATAATCATCAGTTGTCTAAAAGAGTCTGGGAATTACATCACACCAGGTTTGAGTCAGTTGTTCTCCCTTACTCCTCTCTAATCCCGATTCTCCCATCCATCAAGAACCAACTCAACAGTTCCTCCGGAGAAGAAAATGGGATTCCAGGGTGTAGATGTGGGATAAGAATGTAAAGATGTGATTGAGACGGTGGATATGCAAAGATGTTGAAGAAGGGACCACTGTGGTAACACAGAAGTCAGGATGAGATCTATCTAAATCAGGTGGGCATCGCTTAGTAGGGACACATGAGAACAGGATTCCAAAAACACACAGTCAGATGGAGCCTCCACATTTTCTCAAATGGGAGAACTAACCAATGCTCTTTTCTCTCCCATTCATATTGACTTGGCTATTGACTGTGCAGGAGCCCTTTGTTCATGTACCTTCTAGACCAGGGTAACCCAGGAAGCATACAACCTGGTGGTTTTCTGGTCTTATGTTTTTGTCCCAGAAAGAGGCAGCTGTTAGGGGAACTGTGGGACTCTGGTATACTTGTGATTACAGTAAAGATTTTTTGATATGCCAAAATTGATGCACTAAAACTCCACTGAAGTGGAGAGTAAGCGGAGCTCTTTTAACTTTTATGGTTCAGCACAGAGCACCTTTTGCCTCAGCTCTTGCTCCAATGGGAGAAGTAAATGGCAGAGTACTTACACAGGTTCCAATCGATTATAGAAAAAAATATGAAGGGCAACAGACAAAAATCCAGACTAAAGACCACGCTACTAAACATTATCTATCTTCTAGCTACACATTGGTACACTTTAGAGAACAATATGGTATCCCCTAGCCATGTGTGGCTACTTGAATTTAAATTTTAACTAGTTAAAGTTGAAAAAACAACAATTTGATTGCTCAGCGACACTAGCCACATTTCAAGTGCATGATAGACACATATGGCTAGTATGTACCATACTGGACAGCACAGACTTCCAGACCATTTGTATCATTGCAGCAAGTGCCATTGGAAAGTGCTGCTCTAAACAGTAAGAGGTATCTCCAAAAAATCCATACTAATGCGTCCACCACTAAATGTCTTATGTTTATATAGAAATATACACATACAGAAGATATACATAGATGTACATACATACACAAAGTCCGTAGAACAGTATACATTTCAATGAAAAACCAATGGCCCTGGGGAGCCTGGGTGGCTCAGTCGGTTAAGCGTCTGACTTTGGCTCAGGTCACGATCTCACAGCTCTTGAGTTCAAGCCCCACATCAGGCTCTGTGCTGATGGCTCGGAGCCTGGAGCCTGCTTCGGATTCTGTGTCTCCCTCTCTAACCCTCCCCTACTCAGGGTCTGTCTCTCTCTCGCTCTCAAAAGTAAATAAAAACATTAAACAAGTTAAAATAAAAAATCAATGGCCCACTCCAATTTATAATTCAATGTTTTAATATATTGCCTTCGACTTGCATATGTAATTATATGCTCTCATATTTTTATATGCCACTTTGTGTTCTTCTGGTTTTACATAACATCATATCAGACATCTTGTTTATGTTTCTCCATAATCTTAATTATCATTTTAATGTCTGCATAATATTCCATCATTTCGATGTGCTATAATTTGTTTAACCACCTCTCTAATGGTAGACGTTCTTCTAGCGCTTACTCCTTTCTTTATCCTGATTAAGGTTACAAGGCATTTTCTGTGCATAAATGTTTCTGCTGTTCTCTTGTACTTCATAACTCCTTTATTCGCACATGCTTTACAAGAGATATCCCATTTAGAGCCTCTGGAGGGCCCAGAATATAAAACTGTCTTGGACCAATTTAATCCAACACTCAAAACAAATAGTTTATGGAAAGCAGTGAATTTAATAGTTATTTAGAATGTGTGCCTTTGGCAGATGACCTTGATTTAATTGTCCAATTTTCATTATGCTGTAGCTTTTGCTCTCTTATATTCTGTAATGTTTTTGGCCCCAGAGGTAGTCTCTAGAAGCACAGAAGTCATGTGAACCGGAAGAAATAACTGTCAAGACCCATTTTAATTTTACCTGCTGTCTCAATTACCTTCACCCTCCAACCAGAGTTATATTCTTGATAGAGGTAGGGAAACTGGGATCTGATGGCACAAGAGTGTCTATTCTATGCCTATGGGGCTCCTGAGTTTCCCTCCATTTACACTTAGAACTGAGATCCGGCATCCCAGACATCTTTACGACCTCTTATCCAGGCCTTGAGTCTGCCTTAAAACCCAACAAAGATTGGGGTCCCTACTGCTTTCCCATTTTGTTTTCAATCTGTGGTCTCTAGAACGTGTGTTTGCTTCACCCTTTAAGGTAAATTTTAGGAAGAGCTCAAGGTCTCAGCCTTGAATCTAGGGTTTGTGGGTGTAACGATCATGCAAGATCAAAAAGTTGAAAGGACTTACAACCTTTCACACATAAGGCTTTAATCGAGGGAAGTACAGCAAAAGAAGAAAAGCAATCAATCATGGAGGGTTTTGACATATCCAGGAGTCCCTGTCAGCGTCCTTTTTCCACTGCAGAGGGTGTGCTCTATAGTCAGATTATGGGCTACTAAGATACGTTCAAGGCACCTCGGTTTCAAAGAACCTGAGACACAAGTTTGCCGAGGGGCCTTTAAATACTCCACTGGTCACAACTAAAACCAGACAGTCAACTGTGAAACCAGGTGCAAATCATCATCTATAGACCCCTAACCAATGTAGAAGAGTCAGGATATGATGCCTCTGAGGGAATTTTGAGCTTTATTTTTTTTTTTAATTTTTTTTTCAACATTTATTTATTTTTGGGACAGAGAGAGACAGAGCATGAACGGGGGAGGGGCAGAGAGAGAGGGAGACACAGAATCGGAAACAGGCTCCAGGCTCTGAGCCATCAGCCCAGAGCCTGACGCGGGGCTCGAACTCACGGACCGCGAGATCGTGACCTGGCTGAAGTCGGAGGCTTAACCGACTGCGCCACCCAGGCGCCCCGGGAATTTTGAGCTTTAAATAGCATATTATAAACCATTAACTAGCACCTTTCACCCTTATCTTAGCCGAAGGTCAGTACCAGACTTTCAGGCATCCCTGGAGAGGAGCATAGAGCTAGCCCAATCCAGGTGCAAGTTAAATCTATCCTCACGCAGAGAAAGAAGCTAAATACAGGTCCTCAGCGCATAGGCTTCTTCCTTCTATCACTATTCTTTAAGGCAACAAATATTCTTGTGTCATGCAAGGTTTCCTGAAGGACACATGTGAAGTCTCACAAAAGTTGCCTGAGCTTTATTGCCTTTCTTTGCGTTGAGGGTCTTCAAGTTGAGAAACTCTTTGAACTTTAACTGATCAATTTATTGAATAGGTAGAAGAGGTCAGAATAAAAGAAAAGACCTGGGAGCCATAAATCAAAGGGATTCTCAGTTGCCATTGGAAAAGAGCTGCAGGGTATCCGGCTGCAGATGGGTAAGTAGTTATTCAGTAGTTATTCAGCTCACAGTCTCATCGAACTCTGAAAGGGAAAAATTATAGAGAAACCTTTCCAGCAGCTTCTCTGTGGTTTTTTTTTTTTTTTTTTTTTTTTGCTTCCTCACGTGACCGACCACAGGAAAACAAAATGTGCTGAACTACACTCCCATAAAGGCAATTTGGCTGGAAACCTCTTGCGGTGACTTTTGTTCTTTTTGGCACCGGACTAACTTGCCAGGGCGGCTGGAACAAAGAGCCACAAGTTACGTGGCTTCTACCACAGGACTGTATTGTCTCACAGATCTGGAAGCTCAAAGTACCAAATCAAGGGGTTGGCCAGAGTTGGTTCTTTCTGAGTGCTGTGAGGCAGAATCTGTGCCAGGCTCCTCTCTTGCCTTGTAAGATGGCCGTCTTCTCCCTGGGCCTTCACACCACATCCCTTCTATGTGTGTCTGTCTCTGTCCAAATCTCTTTTTTTGATAAGCACACTAGTTATCATGGATTGGGGCCCACACTAATGACATCATTTTAAATTGATTAGCTCTGTAAAGACTCTATTGCCAAGTGAAGTCACATTCTGAGGTACTGGGGGTTAAGACTTCAACATTTGAATTTGGAGGAGACACATTTCAACCCATAAAAGGTACATATTGAATATCAGGCTGCTTCTCAAGGCCTCTACACTATCTCTTTCTTTGTATTCCTCTTCCTCTTGACAGTAGCTGTCTTCAGGATAGGCTGTGGCTGATGCTGCCTTCTGTCATGAAAGAATTCATCTCTTTTTTTTTTTTTTAATTTTTATTTATTTTGGAGAAACAGAGAGTGCGAGCCAGGGAGGGGCACAGAGAGAGGGGGACAGAGGATCCAAAGCGGGCTCTACACTGACAGCACAGAGCCAGATGCGGGGCTTGAACTCAGGAGCTGTGAGATCATGACCTGAGCCAAAGTCAGACGCTCAACTGACTGAGCCACATACGCCCCCTGAATGAATTCACTTCTGATGGGCAAAATAACAAGACACATATATAAGGAGGGAGACGTAACAGATAGCCTTCTGGATAGGAAACAACTGTGATGTAATTAGAGACCCATGTGTGTTTTTAAAACATAGAAACCAAGATAGCTTGGATGCTGTGAGTCACCATTCAATGCCAAAATGGCAATGAAGTCTTGTCACTCCTAAAACAAACAAGAAGGGTGCTTAACTGTACTTAGATGAAGGCCATTAAACAATGTTTT